TAATTTTCTGAATTTAGCTAGAACACTGTTTTCAATGGTATTTCTACTACACTCAATAAAAATGCTCCTTGCTAACTTCTGTGGCTACATTTAGGCAGTAAGAGATAATCAGAATCAATTGTTTCCTGCATAAAGTTTTGAACAATACCATTTTCCCTATTCCTGCAATTAAAATTCAATATGAAATCATGTCTTTGACAACAGAGGTTAACATTTCTCCTACATTTTTCATTTTGTAAAAATCTTATTAATGTAATTGGGCCTTAAACTGTGAGTGAAATTTAAGAACAAACTTCGGCTACTCAAAATTAATTAGAAAGCACTGTTACATTAAGGGGGAAAAGGAATGTGTTTTTATGCAAGTAATATTTATTTATGAGTCTTGGGGACAACCAGCACCCATAAAAAGCTCATTTTTTAAGCTACTACTTGTTCTCAAAGAAAATAAAATACACAAAGAAAGGCTAACTCAGTGTCATTACTTAGGTTTTTATACTTACCAACATCAAGGCCTGTTGTATATGGCATTTTAGCTGCAGACTTGGTCTGTTCATTAGCTGAAGAACTAATTCGTATCCGATTTCTGGCAGACAAAAAAGAAAACAAAGATCAAACTCCAGAACTTACTTGCAGTCTGTGTGACACATGATAGGTGCACTTATATAACCATGGGATACACTCATGACAAACAGTTCTCCTAAATTCCAAAGAAGTATCACAAGCAAAAGCAGCAGCCACCTGGCAAAGAGGCTCTTCTCACAGTTCTCCTCTGCCTGCAGTTTCAGAAGCCAGCAGACAGAGTGCACCAGCTGAGCATTCCAACAACCCTGGCAGACTGAGCAGGGCCAGCCAAGAGGTTACACAAAGCCTTTACCAGTGTTCTGCTTCTGCCTCACCCACGCAGATCACTTCAGGACTTGCAAAACCAAGCCAAAAGGGCAAAAAAAGGAATTTAACAACTACTATCAAAAAAGAATTTGACATTATTGTAATCATTGTAAGTCTTCAGTTGGAGGATAGGTGATGCATTGTTTAAAAAAAAAAAAAAAAATAAAGGCAAGCTTCACCATCTGTTTTCAAAGGAAATACATTGTTCTTGCTCTGCTATATCCTAGCTACAGGAAAAACTGCCACCCATTTACAACAACATATTGGGGATTTTAAATAACTACTTCCTTTCACCATGATTTTTTAGTGCAGCTATTAGAAAAATACACTGTATACCACACCTAGAACTTCCAGCTCTTGAAATCTGCTGCAGGGGTGCTCTCTCCTTTAATTCGTCCTCATAATCTGCAGGTAGATCTCTCACTATTCCATCCAAATAGGGCCTTGAAGAAACAGAAAACATTCAGCTATGCTTGCCTAAAAACATCCAATCTGAAATGAAAGGCTCAGCAGTTTCCTACAAATGGACCCTCAGCCTGATTGAGCACTGGACAGTAGAACCAGCTCCAAAACAGCCCCCAAGTTTTGTAGACCTGCCTCTCTTGGCTAGCACTGCCAAGGCAGCTCTGTCTGGAGCCTGAACTCCCAAGCCTCCCTGCATGCAGCCTCCACCTGTTGAGCCTGACAAAGAGTTCTGAGAGCTGAAAAATTCACTCTGCATTAACTGAAACAGACCTTGCTGCTCTTTGTCCTCAGAAGCCAACAAAGGCTACAAGGGATTTCAGCACACAGCTACTGGGCAAGTCTCCTGAAAGTTACCTTAGATATGAAAAGCTTCTTTAATGACAACCTACCCTCCACAATGCACCCAATACTATTTAAAAGAGAGGGGTGACTTTTGATCAACATAACAGACAGATAACATGGTGAATTCAAATCTTAGCTCGTGAATTTTTGTATTGTCTACATATGAAGAAATATAACTGAAACTTCATGTCATTCCAAAGATGCCAAAAACTTGTATGGACAGAATGGAGCTTCTCTTGAAGATCATTTGAAGATCCGGGGTAGTTGAATTTACAGGCCTTTCTTGCCATGCAAATTAACTACTCTTTAATGAAACCTTCAAGTTATTTGATAAAATAAGGCAAGAAGAGGTATTAAACAAAAAAATGAAGTACCCAACAGATACCAACAAAGTCTCATTTTCCAGAGCTGGACAGAGCCATGGACCTTCTATTAAGCAAATTCAAAAAAATCATTGGTAAACATAGAAAAATAAAATCTTACTCTTTTATATAAAGAGATCCATAGCTCTGCCTATCTCTAACTTAAAAGCCAATAGTCAAAGGCAAAAGGATGCAAGTAGATTATTCAAAATTGATCTGGCATCTTAACAGCTCTCAAGAACAACATGAAAGAACTCCATCCATCCACCCTCTTGGTGTAACATTATCTTCTCTCAGGATCAAGATCATCTTTTTGATGCAGATCAGTCTGCTCCTTACAAGTCTGGTCACATCAGACTGAAATACAGTCAGGAAACAGAAAGCCCCATTTAATTTATTTTCTGTGTGTGTTCTGGAAAAGTTGACTTTGCCTGAAATGTAGTAAAACTAATGCTAATTCTTCAGAAGTTGAGCTATCAGTAACTAATAGATGTGTTTCTCCATCTTGAAGAAGGACTGAATATAGCTTATAAAAGGATAAGGGGAGTTCCTTGCAAAGGAGAGAAAAAAAGCATTAGACTACAAAGCACATATAATAATAAAAAAATGGAAAGTAATTTTCAATAAAAAATCCGCGAAGTAGAAAAAACACACTGAAGCCCACAAACCTTAATTTTATGTACAGACTTAAATTCGGGCAATTCAGGTGATAGTCCAGCAACTCCTTTCAAGAAGATGCATCAAGTTTGCCAATAAAATGTAAGACTATCATCTGTACTTTCCTTTTCAAGGAAAACTGGAACTGTTTCAGAAGCCTCTCCAAATAAGCAATGTATTTAATTCTGTATACATTCTTTGAGATGCAAAGTAAACCTTTAAAATTTATCAATTGGTCATTTTTATTTAAATATATATTTAAATATATACTAGACTCTTCGTCCAGAGACATGAGATGAAACAGTGGCAAACAGCTACCTAGAAAAAGAGGACATTGATCCTTCTGGATCCTAGAGGTCTAATGCTGCTGTTAGTCTTAAAACTATGGACATTTTGGTTATCTTTGTTAAATGCCAAGTCAAGTTGATAAGATTTTTCTTTCTGAAAAGCTGTAGGACAAGAATACCCTACCCCAAAACCTCCTTTGCTTGTTCTACCAATATTACGCTACAGGATGGAACAATTTATTTATTTTGCATTATCTTCTCTGAATCTCATCCAGCACAAAATGGGCAATCTTGACCCTGCTAGCTATTTAACCCCTGATAGTCTTTTTCAGAAACATTGTGTGAATAGGCATACGCACATCTGAACAGTCTGAAACTCTAAAATAACCCATTTATTTGGTCTACATCTCCCAAATGCTTCCAGACATTCCGTTTTCTCCATAGTTACTTAGTTCTTTTACAATTGTTTTTTTAAAGGCTGAAGAAGACTTTCAAAAGCTATTTTGTAGAGAAGTTATTTTAACTCTATTGGCATTTAAAACTGGAAAAGAAACATGACTTCATTTAACTTAGCAAACATTCTTGCAGCAGGAGAGCATTTAGGGTTTGTTTTTCCCAGTTATTAGTTTGCAGTACTATCCAGAAAATTGCTCCTGTAAACAATGACTCAAAACATTATTTAACCAAAACACCAGCAACCCACAATGAAACCCAATCGTAATATTTTACATCTCTGAGAGTATACAATTTGCTTTCTGTTTTTCCTAGAAGTGTTAAATCCATTAAAAAAAAAAAAAAAGGTGGTTATTTTGCCTACAAGGGGAAGATGGTGCTGTTGCCTTCACTGAAGCAACTGCAGGAAAACAATTCTGGCAAAAGGCAAAAAAAGAAAAAAAATTCACCTACAACACTATAAAACTGTTTGGTATTATTCTACATCACAATCCATCTGTTTTTGAAAGGAACTGGTTCTTGCAATGGAATAACAGAAGGTGGCCAAAGAGCCAAACCCTGAATGATTAGGAAGGTTACACTTTCCTTTTTTCTTTCCTCATAAATGACTCAGCTAGAAGAGAAAGATTAACAATTAATGTAAAACTGATTTATCAGTTAACACAGTAAAGACTATTTAATAATTAACAGCACATAATATCAGTTTTCTCCTGAATGATTTAGCCAGAATACCCTCTGCTCCCTAATGTAAATGTCTTAGGTACTGGTCCAATTTTAAAATTTCTTTTCCTAAAAATTATTGCACAGTCCCTCTTCAAAGTAAGTGCAGAAATCCTGCTTTCACATGGGTATCTTGACTACTGTTCAATGAGAGCAAAGCACAGCTGTCAACAAGCACCACAGAAATAAAGGAGACAACAGAATTAAAAATACCTTTCAGCATAAAAAGCCCGGGGAGTTCTTCTGTCATAAATGCTTTCACATCTAAACCTAGGGTCCATTTCTTCACTTATCTTGGGATCATAGTCCATTCTGTAGTATCTTCTACCAAAATCATGATCCTCATCAAGTCTGTGATGCTTCCTAACAGGAATAATGGACTGGCTAACAAATCCACCATGTCTTCGACTGGGAACATACAAGTCTTCATCAAGTCTTTCATTTAATAGTCGACTTCTTAATTCAATCTCATCTTCTAATCTATGATACCTCTCTTCCTCCAGCCACCTCTTAATTAGCAGCTCTTCAAAACTTTCTGTAGAAGTAAAGGCATCCTTCTTGGGAGGTTCTGCATATTCATTACAGGTCTGGACTTCTCTAGGTACTTCTGCCAGGATCCTGGTAACAGCAATAGGTTTTTTATTCCTGTCCATCTCATTCTGTTTAATGGGGAAAAAAAATTAAAAGATCTGAATATAAACAAACCACACTAAGCAAAATCTTGGGTTTGTATTTTTCTAAAAATAATCCCTAAACAGGTACTGGAGAAAAGGCAGGAGGGGAGCAAGAGAGATATGGAGTTTGGCTGATTTGGGGTTTCTCTTTACTTGTGTTTGGACTGGGCTTTTTTGGTTTGGTTTATTTTTTTGTCTTGAGACAAAACAGCACTCTTCCTCTTATGTCCTGCTTTTTAAGAAGAATGGCTATCAAACCTCAGTGGGCCTTATACAAACTCCAATTTGACCTTCAGATTCAGAGGTGAGAAGAATCAAAAACCACTTTGCACTTTATACCTCATCAAGAGACTAAATATCTTTATCCAGACGGGGAAGTCGGCAACACTTCTGAACTACGAGCACAACCTCTTGGCCTGACCATTTCTAAATCTATTTCTTTGCTCACCAGGAGATGCCTCTAGGAGAAAGGGCAGTTTAGTGGATAAAGAACAACCCAATGACGTACTGGACACTGTGTTCAACACACAGCTCCCACAAACAACATGGTTTTGCATAAATCCCATAGCATTTCTGTGCACTGATCTTTCATCTACAGAATAGAAACAACAGTAGTTCATCCTTTAAAAACAAAGATGCAAATGACACCCAACTGGGAAAAGGGATCAGTATACTATAGGGTATGACTGCCATTCAGCAGGGTCTTGATAAACTGGGGAAACATGCTGACAAAAAGCTCATGCAGATCAACAAATCAGGCATGTGGCTACCTCACTCTCAGTACTAAAGACTTTTTTCCTCACAAGTGCACAGCACCACACACTGGGAGCTGCCTGCCTTGTATTTGCATGAACAGGACACAGACGGAGGAAAAAGCAGCTACAAGCAGAAGTGAAGGAATACGGTATGGATCTCAACAATTTGTCCAAAGAGATAGATTTGGGTCACCACTTTCATCACCAAAAACAATCTAGGAACTTGCTTCAGACACATGGAAGAATGAAAGCATCTTTTGACCAGACAGGTATGATCGAAGCAGGAATCAAGAATTATACTGTATGACTTGTCACCAGGACTTGCTAAATATATTAATGAAACAGTGTCCTAATTAAACAACATCCTCTGCTTACTTTGTATGTCTTAGTCAATGATCAAACAATTGACAACGTAACATGTTTTTCTTCATATCAGCTACAGTAAAGCTGTATTACCTCTATGTTTTTCTTCCCTAATTTCCTAAACCGCTCATTCCATTCTTCTTTATCCCTGAGATATTGATTGTACTCCTTGTTTCTTTCAAGCCGTAGCTTCTCCTAAAAGAGGCATTGAAAAGGGCATCATCATTTTGCATTTCTGAGTAGCTTTGAACTTCACAGACCTGCAGCGTTAAATGAATACATGCAAGCTGTGTGTTTGCACTCCCCCTTCTTTGTGAAATACAAATAGGGTTTGAATTGTTTGAGGTTATGATCATTACTGAATAAAGTACTGTGGCTTAATCTGAAATCTCTAAGCAGAAGTCAGCTTCTGGGCATGAAACCCAGTCCCCAGTAACACCACTATCAAGTTCCATCTTAAAACCAGCTAGTTTTCCTCCTGCTAAATCTGTTAAAAAACTGTTCCAAAGTCTCAATTCTCTGACAATTAAAAATTCACTTTCTAACTTCCAATCTGAATGTACTTAAAAAAAAAAAAAGTGGTGGTTTTTTTTTTTTTTTTTTGGGTAAAGGTAGTTTTGACCTGCCCCACTGGTAACTGAAACAGAACAAATACATGTACAGGCAAGATGTGTCAATTATAGCTTAGGATACAATTCAACCTGCCAAATTCAAATGAGTAGTTAAGATGATTGAAAAAAAAATAAAGGAAACAAAAGACAAAGAGTAGAAAGAAAACAAAGGAAAAAAAATAATCTCTCCACCTTGTCATAGCTGTTTTTGTAAGGTGATGGCATTTATAACAATCTTCCTCAGGTCTAAAAACATGCAGGAACTGTACATCAATAGCTTAATAATATAATACAAAATATCAAAGCCCCCAGCTAAAGCAAACTAATTTTCATCACTTCCTGATACTAGTTCCTTATCTTTAGAGTATGGGGCACCTCTCACACTACAACTGCACATTCCAACCATCTGTTGTGGTTTGAGGCTTGGAATGGGGGTGTGACCTTCCAGCACCTGGGAGGGCCCCGGGTGGGGATGAATCGGCTTGGAGTGGGGGTGTGACCTTCCAGCATCTGGTTGGGCCCTGGGTGGGGGGGAACCGTGTATTCCCTCCCCTTCCATGCCACACTCTGGAAAGAGGCAGGAAGCGGGTGCCAGCGCTGCTCCTGCCCTGCGGCTGCGGGTCCGGGCCTGCTTCGCTCCCTGGGACCTTGGAACTAGTCTGACGGTTTTGTATATTTTGTTTACTTTTTTATTTCCCCAATCTTTGTATATATTTTTCTTACCTCCCTTTTTCATTTTCTATTCCCTGTTAAACAATATACTTCATTTTTTCATTTAACTCCCAATCGGTTTTCAAAGCCTCTCTCTCTCTCTCTCTCTCTCTCTCGCTGGGGGGGAGGGGAGCACATAGTTTTGTTCTGTGTGGGTTCTGCCCTGAACCCCTTTTTACATGGAACCAGAACACCATCATACAAATGAAAAAAAGATAATTATATTACAGTATTACAAATCATGCTCTTCTCCATGTCAGTATTTTCCAATAAATGAGTAAAAATGTATTAAAAAAAATCTGAATATTAGATATAAATTTACTTTCCCCTGAACAAATTTCAAATGAAAATAATGTATACCTCAATCACCATGGAAATACCAGCTTAGTAATAGTTTTGCATATGAGACCATGCTCCCCAAATATGTTTTTTTTTTTCCTAAAATGTCTGTCTATAGCTTTTCTGACAGTGACAATGTAAAAACCTGTGGACAGTTACAGAAGCTGCCTAAGGGGTACTTGCCAAAGCTGAGAAACTAGAACTGTCTTTAACAGGTGGCAAAACACTCAACAGAAAATTCAATATGCCTTGTGACTGCACATTTTACCTAACATAGGAAACCAAAATGCAAATGTTAGCCTCTGATCATGACCTGCCCAGAGGCAGGGCACAGTGTGACATCTTATCAGCTTTTATGTTCTGCAGTACCAATAAACAAACGGGCAAAAAGGATACAACACAGTTGTAAAGAAAAACTCAATGAATGCTGACCTGCTATGGTATAAAGCCAGCAATGATCAAACATGTTCCCAGTTCAGACAGAAGTAGCAAACCTCAAACAACTGTCAGTATAGAATTACACATCTAATTTTCTACAAACTAAAAGTACAGGAATAAAAATTTTAAAACAAGTATATTTAAAGACCTTACTTTTCTGAAAATTATTCTAACAAGCTCCAAAAATGTTCATTTGTAAACAATGTAAAAAACACACAACCAAAGGAAAAAACCCTTAAGTGGAAATAAATTTTCCGCAACAGTTTAAAAATAAAGGTTCATTTTGAAGTTATACACCACTTACTTAGTTTCCTCCAGATATTTACCTTGGCAGATCTTCGCTCATCAATAGGAAGAGATAATCCCTGAGTATATGGATCTACTTCACCAGTAGTCAGGTAATTTTTCTACATTAAAAAGAAAATAAAAATAATTCAATGTATTGTAAAATACCAAGTTTTACTTGCTAAGAATTCAATTTTCTGAAATAAATGTGATCAATTTACTGAAATAAAGACATAAGACAGCCTTCAAATTTAGGAAATGTAGGATGTTCTTGGAAGACATGAATGAAGTGAAGTCAAGGAGTGGGGACAGCAAAGGGCTTTGTCGAGCTTTAAGCCTGAGTTTGAAAGTGCTGTCACTTCTTCCCTGTTATTTCAAGGATTACATAAGTTAATCTTTATATATTAAAAAAACACATTTTTATTTTAGAAAGCCCATCATTACTCAAGTATCCTGTAAGCAAGCGGCATAAGCACAAGCAACTGTACAAGCATAAAAGAGGAATTTCCCAAGACACTACCTTACTTAATGTGAAAAACTGTTTTTTTTTTCTACCTGCAGAAAACACATGCCTGACTCTTAATCCAGCTGATGGAATCCCCACTACCACTAGCACAGTCCCCTCTCTGCATCTCAACACTGTCTGTTTTCTACAAAGGCAGTCCCCACACTTTTCAGGACAACAACCCGTCACGAAATCTTGTTGTTGCTTACAGGCAAGCATTCACTTCCAGAACAGAGCTTTCCACTGAAAACATGACACTGCTGCTCCACACAGCTCCCAGAGCTGCAATGGGGGAACTGGCACCATAGCAAGTCAAAGGAGCAGCCTTTCAACCCACATACCAGTGCTGGAGCAGGTCCTCAGCTTCCCAGTCTAGTGGCTGCTTCACACATTACTCACCTACTAAAAGCATCCCCAGGCCATTCTCTGTCATCTATGTTTTATAAATCCAATTAGTTTTAATAGAAGTTCATCTATTTATGTGGCATGGGCTGGTGAGGGGAATGGGCTAGATACAGTACATCCCTAGCATTTTTTCCTTCCATTATCTGTGTTGTAACAAGGCTCAAAAGCTTAGAGGCATGTCAACAGGTAAGAGCTCTACCTGTTCCAGTACAAAACCACTGCATTATGAGTTATATCCCACAACCACACATGACAAGATTTAAGAGATTAAAGAACTATGCAAGTATTCAAGCACTGAGGCAACTAGATAATATAAAGAACTAGGTTACTTTTACCAAAAAGTAAAAAAATTGAAATCCTCATTATGAAATAATTCTCCTCACACTTTGAACACATCTGTAGAGATTACTTCTGACCTTAAATAGGTATTTGCCAAATACCAGAACCTGATACAGAAATTGCACTTCCTACAACAGTAAGACTATGTTACAAGTTGTTAACCAAAATACTATCACTTTGACAGCTGCTAAAAGTTGCACTATCTCCTTATATACGGAAAGGAAATTAGAGATTGTTCTCTCTTCCTCAAGCTTAATGTAGTTAATGTGTACTGCATTAAAGAAAAAAAACCTTGTAAACCTAAATTTGTAAAACTGAAGTTCAGCTGAGAATAAAACACTAGAAGTTTATGTAAAAATTGTATTATTTGGATACTCTGGTGAAAATTATGAAACATTAAATTTTAACACAACATTCTAACTTTGACAACATCTGAAGTTTAAGATTAAACAACAAGCAACAATTATGGAAGCATCATTTTGGTTAGAGGTTAAGAAACCTCTAAACAAAAACAGCTAATTCCGCTGTTGCTGTTGTTATTCAGGAATGCTCCTGTATGCTAACACAGTTAATTCATATCTTATGCTTCTTATTCAAAGTCCCAGAAAAAACAGAGGGTTGTGTTTGTACCACATCACCTCCCAATCCTTTACTGAAGTTGCCTAATTTGAACAACATGGAAGGACAGCATTAGAGTTGAAAATTATATTTATGTAACAGTGCAAATAAATAAAAATTACTGTAGTTGAACAAAGGTCAAAAAAAGTGCCTCTGGTATTATTTTTTTCCTCACAACACCTGTATTCTTGCATTCTGGCCACTAAGTGCTGAATAACTGGCTCTGCTGCTTTCCTAAGCATCACTGATGAGACTGCAGGGACAAAAACAGCCCTGACTCTCTAATATTCCAAAGTTTATGATTTTATTTCAGCTTCATAAAGCATGCGTATCAAGAAAAAAATAAATTTGAACTCATAACATCTGTGTAACAACCGATAAGCCTTCAAGCAAATGTCAACCAAAAGAAAAACTTCTGCAGAGGTCAGCATTAGACAGCAGCAATAGCAATTGCAAAGGAAAAAATAAATCAACAAATGTTTTAAAATCTTATTAATGGAAAATAATAAATATAAGTAATCATTTTGCATGGAGCAAACAGTGCCATGAAACTAATCACTACAGCATGCACAAACACACAAAGCACAAAAAAAAGTAATGATTTTTTGTAAATCTGAAAGGCAAAGCTCTCAAACAAAGCAAAAAGTAACTAATCCAAAGGGAAAAAAAAAATTGATATTGGCACCCTACCTTTCTTTTTGCCTGTGAAATACCCTAAAAGTCAGGGAAAAGATACTGTTCAAAAAGAGTCTTTCATTCAAAAATATTTGACTTAATAAAAGGTTTTTTTGTTAAAGCAAATATGTTCTTTCATCTCAAGAACTAAAGACACTGATAATTAGCACTTTCAGACAACAGAAATTATTTCATAAAATCAAAGAATGTATTTGGTTGGAAGGGACCTCCAAAGGTCATCTAGTCCAACCCCCCTGCAATAAGCAGGGACATCTCCAACTAGGCCAAGCTGCTCAGACGAGTTATTTGGTTCCTGACTTTTTTCCTGTTTGACTAAGAAGCGATACAGAATATTACCAAGATTGTGGCATTTCATACATACTATTTCAATTTTAAAAGTTACTGTGACATTTAATTAATCATGCTAAGCAGAACATCAACGTTACTTTACTGCTAACATTGAAAAGAATCTGTCAAATAGAGTTGCACTCATTACAGGAATATTCTTACCTTACGTCAAACTTTAGAATAAAATACTTAGGGAAGTAACAGATATTTTAAATTCTTAAGAAGAAAATAAGAAGGAAGTAGAGATAAATAAAATTATTCAGAATAAAATGGAGTTAAGTAATACATAGTCTCATGGTGATGAGATCAGTAGAACCCTAAAATACATAACCCTTTCTCGCAGTGACATACTGAAATTACTTTTCCTCAAGTGTTCAAAAATCAGCCACCACTCACAACAAATGCCTTCTCAGGAAGACTTTCCACACCTTTTATTATTTTCCATTCAATTAAAATGAGAGAGCCATTTTAAAAGGCTCACTAAACTCAGGTAAGCAGACAAGAAGCTTTACCTGAGAGAGATATCGCCTATAATCCTGTTGAAGTTCTTCTTTCAGTTTATGTTTTTTTCGTTCATATTCTTCCCCGAGAGGTAAACTCAAGCCATAGCCACCTGAAAGTGTAATGCCATTAATATTATTATTCTACTGTTCTGTATCAATACAAAGCACATCCTACAAAAGCTACATCTGGATTTTTATGAGACATCAACAATAAAATAAATTAACTATGCAACCAGTAATAACAAACCAGCTGAAATAAACACCACCTTCTCTGTAGCTGGGTGGAAAGTATAGAGAAATGGACTGGGTTTTGCATGTTAGCTTTCCTCTAGTCCTTGTGCTTCTTCTCCCCATCCAAAAAACATGTAGCATAAACTGAACTTATTTGGACAGTCTGAGGAGTATAAAAGAACCTAAATATTTTACATACTTCTTTTGTCAATGTACATTTCAAAGGATATCTCCTGTGACACGAATTTAGTTTCTAAATTGCTCTGACACTTTAACCTGAGGTTACCACACAACAGGAAGAATACTTTGTAATCAGAAAGCAGCAAATTCTTTGTTTAGCATAAAGCCCGTGAAAAATAAGTTGCCCTCCACACAACTAGAAGGAATAGGACCATATGATAATAATTACAAAAATATTTTTTTCTTAGAGGCTGGAAGAAAACGCATCCTTACTGCCCTGGCACCAAGTACAGGGAACATAACCTTTAGCAGTAAATTCCAGATGAAAGATGGACTTCCAAAGCTTTTGCTCCACCCAAGTACAAAAGCAAAGGACAGACCATCTACCAAGGAGTGGTAAATAGCTTTTGTATTTTGTTTTAGTTTTCGTGTTTTGTTTTGTTTTTTTTAAATGGTGCTTCCTTTACAAAAAAAAAAAAAAAATGCTTGGCATATTTTCCGTATTCAAAAAAAGCATAACTACAACAAATTCCACACAATCCCAAGATGTTTGGAAGTCCTTAGAATTGGCATGCACTTGATTAAAAATCCAAAGCAGTAATTCCCTTCCAAAAATTCTCAAGGGAAATTAAATGCTACTTAAATCTAGAAGACATATTAAAAAAAATATATACTATACCTAAAGGACAGTTCTGTTGACTATTTGGAGGTGTATTTTCTTTAGCCATTGAGATTAACATTTTGTTAGTCTCAGAAAGCTTCTCTGGCTCCTTCCTCTGAAAGCAAAACAAAACGCTTTGTGCATCACAAGGTAAAAGAAATATCACACTTAAAAACAACACTATTAACTTAATTATTAGCACTGGAGAATAGAGAGATTGAACGTGATGGTGAGTTAACACTAATACATTTCACTCATACTACCAAAACCACAGTTCTCCTCCAAAACATAGGAATTATTAGGTCAATATATTTCACTATATTCAATACACTTCATGTCATGAAATGTTGAAAATATATGTTGTTTATATTTGTATATATTTATTTTTGTATGTTATGTATATTTGTAATTTTGAAAAACTATATTATGATATGTTTATAGCGTAAATCACAGGTCATAATCCACAACTGGTTTACAGTTTATACATATCCTCCCTGTTTTTTTATGGGGGCTGATCTGACGTACTGCCCCCTGATTGAAACTCAGAAAGACTCTGAGGGTGTTCCAGGACAAGGTTAGCACATCTGTTCCCTCTGACCACACTTGCACCATCCAGCTTAGGACTTAAACTATAGACCAGAAGCATTCTTCTCTTTAAACCTGCTCTGAGCAGAAGAGGCAAAAATAAAGGAAGCCAACCTCCTCACAGTTCCCTAAAAATTAACTTTCTGGAGTGAATTAAAGCTTTCTAGCGAGAATTATTGTAACTAGGAAAAAATACTCATATTACCCACAGAAGGAGAAAGATGAAGTCTCATAGCTTTCTGATGAAACAAAAAAGGGACCGAAAACTCATTATTACAACTGCTGTTAAAAGCTCAAACTGTTTGGACCTTTTAAGTCCAACAACAGACAAATAAAAACTGAAGGTGTTTTTATTGAAAACTTTATCTAGCTACCATAACAGTTAGCTTGAATAATTTAGATAGAGCTTTTAGCCAGGCCCTGGAACTATTAAACAACTAAATGGCGATCTGCAAATTATAAAATCTTTATAGCTTTTGAAATAGGTACTAAAATTTCTAATAGAAAATTGTGGTAGGAACAGATTTTGTTTAATTGATTGGACTAAGTAATTTGTGTTTTGTATTTCCTAATTTCTGTAAAAGAAGTTTTGAGGATCTTTATACCTTCCATCCTCATCCCAACAACCACACTCTGGAGTGGGTGGGGAGCAGATCCCTGCAACTCACCTTCCCTGGGGAGGGGGAAGGAACAATGATCATCATTTACAAGAGTTTTCCCACTTGTAAAATACAAATATTACTGTGCACGCCTGGTGGCAAATTGTTTTTTCGAAATCTAAATACATAAATACAGATACAAAGTATTTCAGTTAGAAATTAATTTGAATAGATGAATCTTTCATATATACTGAAACAACAAATACGGTTTTAAGAGCACAAAGCAAGGTGAGATGAAGAGCCTAGCAAGATTCAATTCAGGAGAACTATTCAATACTCTTACCGTCATTTCCATGTAAGGTGTATAATTTTCAAGTTCTGCCTTATCTTGTGCCAGCTTGGCATTCTGGTCAGCAATAAATTTGTCTAAATCATCTGCCATCACTTCTAAGGTTGTGGAAAAGATAGAGAACATTACATGAGACCCCCCACAACTGAAAGCTCAATTACAGTTACTTAAGACAGTACTTAAGTAATATTTACGATTTTCCCTCAGAACAACAAGCCTTGCAATGCTTGTTGGGTCAACACATAAAACACATAAATAGGATAAGGGAATCATCAGGTAAAAAAGGACAAGTCCAAAATACATGCATAGTCTAAAAAAAAAAGGTACCAAATCATACAATCACTTCTGTGCTTAACTACCACAAGAAGTCTTAAAAATCATCAAGCTTATTCAAAAACAAACCCACAAAAATGGAAAAAAAAAGAAAACCATAAAATACACGCAGTGTCTTATTTGTGCCATTTATTGTATATTGCTGCTCCTAGATAACCTCACAATAAAAATCAAAGCGAATCAAATTCATGAGAATGGAACAGTACAGAAATTAAGTCACACACTCAGACTTTGAATATCCTTTGTTAGGTTACTCTTACCACAACTAAAATTACTGTAAATCCTGGAAAGAAGATAGATGAACCCCAAAAGACTGCCTGCATACTAGCCTAAAGATCCTCGTTTCCATTCAGCATTTTCATCAGCCCCACTGGGGGAGATGTTTTGTAATCCAAGGCTACAGATAAAAAAAAAAAAAAATCCCTATATGCTGTTCCACACTTGGAGGAAGTATGAAACCATGTGAGAGTGATGAACCTCCAGTTCCCCTCCCACTCCCCCCACAACTTCAGCAATAGGATTGCTTATGTGGGTTTCTCAGCAATCCCATCAAATATCTTAAACTCATATTGGACAGTGGTTTTACTGAGGCCAATTCAGTATATTTCTAAAGCCTAAAGATTGCATTAGGTAAACAACAGGCCAATGGTTAATTAAAAAAAAAAAAAAAGACAAAACCACAAACAAAAAATACAAACAAACAAAACCACTTCAAAGACCAGTGGAATAAGATACTACACAGGTAAACATAAAATAAGGTGTCCAGAGAGACTGAGATAAATGCTTACCCGAAGGAAGATCAAGAGAAGTAACATCAAAACTCCATCACACAAATTCAAGTAATTGGATACTAATTTAATTTAAGGAATACTTAAACTGTATTCTTTTAAACTTTTTTTCTGACATTAATGCTGGTTTTTGATTCATGATATAAACTGATATTATTAGAAAGGAGGGAGAACTAGAACCACCTACTTACAATACCTAGTGGTGATACAGAACAATCAATTCCAAAAATAAATTCTCCCATCTGATTTGACCTAAATCTTTAATCTCATTAGCTCTGCACATTGATATAGGATAAGAGAAATCTAAAAGCGGGTAAGTTTCCAGGCACTGATAAAGTTTATTTAGCCTATAAGGTTACATAAGAATAATGAAAAAAATGTTCTGAATGGGAGAAACAATTTGTCATACTAGAGGATTTGACAGTTGGTCTCATCACTTCTCCAGTGCTGCCAAAAGTGGCCAAACACGCACAAGGGCAAATTTCATGAGATAAGTAAAATCAGTATATTGTACTGAAAAAGAAAAAAATCAAATATTCTGATACATTCCAAACAAAACCATGACAATTTGAATGTGATGTGTACACTGTCCAGAAAATAAGCAATACCTTACTGAATATTAACTGATTTTATTATCCATTATATCAAGTGAAGCATCATTGATATGGAATAAGAATAATAGATAGAAAATAATGGTTAATTATACACATTAAGAATTTTAGAGTATAGAATAGTATCATATAACTTAAGAAGAAAAGAAACAGCTAACAAATGGAAAAGTTTGCCTTCTCTTACTAGCAAGGACTTATTTACAGATAGAAGGGACATTCTAACCTTATCTAACTAAAATCAACCCTGAGAAGAACACTCAACCATAGAAAGGGCGTTCCCACCTCATCTAGAAGGCATCCCTAAGGAACAAGAATTAGAAAACAGGATAGCACCCGTCACAAAAACATCAATAAATCCCTTTGCTGGATGGTAAACAAGGACATGAATTAGCTCAGACTGATAAAGACACTACAGGATTGCAAAATCATCGCATTCCAGGGAAAGGGTGAAGAGCACACTGTGAGGAAGACGCGTATTCTTCCTCCCAGAGACCCCTGCCCATAATTTCTGGGAAGACCTGCGCAAGCGGGAAGGACTGATGAGCTAATTACCATATGAAGCAGGAGTAGGCGGGGTTGGGTAATGAATATGTATAGGCTTCCCATGAATATGTATTGTTTCACTGTATAAATGTGGGAGGACTTGCCTTTTCGGGTATGCACGTTTGTGGTGGAGCGATCCCCCGTGCATCTGCGCGCAATAAACAGACCTACTGTATAACTGTCGAGTTATAGAGTCTGTGTCCGTACGTCATCACGACCAACCACAACAAAAAATAAAGCAGCAATATCCTGGCTGAAAAACGAGCTACCCCAGTCCCCAGTTAGGCAGAGAACTGTCCCGGAGGTGGCAGTGAACCATTAACTGCCCTCCGCTGTAAAACTGCTCCAGTCCAAACCCACACAAGCCCTTCCCAGTCTCGCCGTGTGTCTGGGTGCACCCGGTGCGCTGCTGCGCCTCACAGCCACCAGCAAGAGCAGCAAACTCAAAACTAAACTTGGAGACACTGCTCCATGGGCACACACATAGAGCAAAAGGGAGTCAGCACAAGCTGTCAGTGTTTGAGAACCCAAGGATAAACCATATGCCCCCAAAATTATAAGGTGCAAACAACATATTTTTCATGGGTTTTGGATAACAGATCATTTTGTAAATGTCATTTAAAAAAAAAAAAAATTGATAGCATGCACCTATCAGCTCTTCCTTTTGCTCTTGCATCTTTAAATCTTGGATGTTTTTGCATTCCCAAAACATTGTTATTATTCAAAGTGAAATTCTGTTAAGCATACTGTTGCCATATACTCACTTGCTATCTGAAAATGTCCCATTAAAAAAAAAAAAAAACTTTTTTTCTGTATTTCCACTTTCTATTTCTATCTATCTGTACTTCTATCTACTTTCAAGAAGATTTTAGTTTTTCAGCTCCTTCTTGTCCTTTTAAAATGGAAGTTTCCATAAAAGCAACTCCTAACAATTACAGAATCAGTTAGGTACACTTCAACTTAAGCAAATACACAAGAAAATGTACAGATATTCCAGAAAGCACGCCAAGTTTGAGCATGAGATCTTTATTGGATCTATGCCCAAACAGAATTAGTAATGCATGTTTCCATTCATAATATTTAAAACATCTACAAGTGTATTTACTGTATTGCATGTGCTCTCTCTAGCTGTGCATTTGTAGCTATCATCCAAAGTGACGTTTATTGCAGTCCTTTTTCTTCCTTCCCTTCCCGTATGTTTAGAACGGGTCACAAAATCTAAAATCAGTACATGGAAGCAGACAGACTTCATCTCTTCTCTGCTACCAGAAAATTAAAATAACATCAGGAAAACTGGCAAAACAGCAAATCCTATCCACATGACCTGCAGCAAGGGTAGCAAGGAAGGAAATGTTGCTTTCAGAAAGCAACTTTATGGCATGTTCAATAACTGCACTTCCAGGTTATATGGCTATGGGATTGTCAGTAACAAATATTTCTCCAGGTTTCACCCAGCTTCCTAAGGCCTGGTGAGAGGCAGCACGGTCTGTTTCTCTGCCCCTGCAAATGGCATTAGGACGCTCCCTGCACCTTCCACCTTTGCTTCCTTCAAATTCCGATCGGATAAAGCACACGATATCCCAGGGCCCGCACGCTCACGACTAATAAACTCCTGACGACTTTTTCCTAACTGCGGAGGCACTTAACCCTCCAAACAACCAACCGACAGTTTCGCGGGTTACGTGCCCTCGCCATAAGGGCTTCTCCGCTTTGCCAGCATACGTGCTCCGATCCAAAACCAACATCAATTTCGGGAAACCCCCAGGGCCAAGAGCTCGGACTGATTGCTCTGAGCT